AGCCTCTGGAACTTAGTCACTTCTACTGTTTTTTGTTTCCCTCTAACAATAAGAGCTAGCTGTTTTTTTTTTCCTTACTGTCTCATTCTACTAAAACGTAAAGCGGAAAGCGCGCATGATTCTCAAAGATATTTCTCCCCCTCCTCTCTTTCCTCACCCCTATATCCTTAAATTATGCCTCATTCTCCTTTCAATATTGTGAAGCATGCTGAGTGAGGAAAATAGAATCTACGCCCGGTTTTGGCTCTGCAAGTTGCAGCTGCAAGCTCGATGCAACCTTTGACTGCTTTTTAGCATTCCTTTAAACAAGAACTTGTTTGTGCATTCCAAGCTTTTGAGACTAATTTACTTGGTAGACGCCACACCCCCTCATCCTGGAATAGCAGCAGACCGTGCAAACTTGCACTAATAACAACACAGCCATTTCGTAATTCTGTACGTATTAAAGGGTCATTGGTTAATATGGACGCAAAAAACTCTTTTATCCAGACATGTGCAATTAGTATTCTGCAAAGGCAACGGCGCATGTATCTGGTAGGGAGAAGAAGGGAACATTGATCAAAATTTGAAATTAGCAAGAAGAAAAAGATCAAGCGAACGACAAAAAATCATGAAGTGTACTCAAGTAGAACTAACCCGCTTTTCACCGCAGAACATAAACACATCAGCCAAGTCAAACGATGCAGTTAATTCGATCGTCTGCAAAAGTTCGGTATAATTAATGAAGGGGAATTAACTAGTGTTGTCCTTTTTAATAAGTGTCCGCTCACTTCTTTCGAATGACTTCGTATCGAATAGGCAACTCGGATGGGATGTCTTACGGTAGCCGCGCGGGGATCCATCAACGTACCAGTGACTGACACTGGACATTGAAGCAGTGGAATTCGACATAACGGCACTACTGATCGTACCGTACTTCCACCACCTGCCCTGCAACTTCAGTAAATACTGTGACTATGACGCTGAAAAGAATTGATTGTACACAAAGCTTTAGAAATTTTGAACGTTGGCTTATTTTCTCACTCAGCTCTATTTTGACTGAGAAAAAAACCCTCTTTTCTTAATTCTGCATAGCTACCAACCGTCCGCAATTTTTTTTTTG